TATTTCGTGCGCCGTACCCTTAATACCTCTTAACAACCCAAGTTTAGCCGTGGCAGGATGCAACTTCGGTTGTAGTTTTGCGGGGTTCAGAGATAGATTAATAATACTCTCATTGAGTAAAGTTACTACTGTAAATTAAGTTATAGGTAGATAACTGTTGACTCCAAGTGATGCACTCTAGGTGAGGCGCTCCTTGTTTGAGGCACGTTTGGCGCTTGTAGCTGATTCTGACATGTTTTAATGATTCTCATAATAATAACATAAATCTAATTCTTGTTGAACTGGTTACTCAATTACTTTTTCTAAATTGATTTCAGATGTGTTCTCTCGATCGACCACCTGACGAACTGCCATTACACATTGTCTACCGTTTGGGAGTGTAAATATATGTTTTTATAGTAGTTGATGTTTACTTGTTACTAAGTATAAACGAACGCCCCTACATTATTATGAAAGCTGTACCTACTTTGCTTAATTTGTCCTTATTTTTTTTTACTTTTAAAGTACATGGGAATTTCCGGAATCAAAAACTCTATGCAGGTTTCCAAATAAGATCAATAATCTATTTAAACACGTTCATTCGAAGTGATCCGTAAACGATTAATTAATCTTGGCTGATAACCGCCAAATTATCCAAGATGATAATTTATAGTTCGATTGGGTCGATTTCTTATAAAAACAACGGTCTTAATTGGGTGCCAATGTAAATAAGTTCCCAGACAAGCAATAAAGCCGCCGTAAATATTAGAAATTGAGATGTAGACATGCATACAAAGCGAAACTTATTAATTAGGAATTAAGCGACTGCGTGTAATGAAAGTCTATTGGTAGCATGGACAATGTGCTTCGAATTCGAATATTTAGACCTGAAAACACTGTTGTCGAAATTGCCTGTAATTTTTTTTAATTATTAATTTCCAGCTAAAGCAGATTTATCACTTGACTGCAGTTGAGTTGGTTTTAATTTTAATTTTCGCCTCGTTTCTCTGCTTTAGTTTCAATTATTGCTTACATTTTTCTGCTTCTGACTCCCTGTCTTGATAATTGATATTTCTATAGTCTTTCTACTTTCTCTATGAATTTGCGACATATTTTGCATTTTGTCATAATTAAATTTGAGATTTTTCTGCGTTTCTTTACCTGGCCTTCTTTTGCTACTCAATTTGCAGGTGTATTTAAAAACTTAGTAGGCCGTATCTTCTTAGGAGGTAACATTAAAGGACACTGGGAAACTTTTCGTGAAGTTCCACAGGTTTAGGATAGAAAATTGTGTCGTGAAAGTTTTAGATAAGTTCTGTTTTTTTTTCATTTTCGTGAAAGTTTTTGAGGTGATTTGAAATTTGCCATACAAGTGCATGACCAAATTGACCAACTTTTTCAAAGCAAAATTTTAAGGAACCGCCGCTTTCAACTTTTAAACGATAACTTTTGGAATTTTTCAATCGATTTTTGAGGCCATAGAATATTCCCTCAAAATCTGTCAGCGAATCGGTTATGCATGTCTTGAAAATTTTTCAAAAAGTCTAAAGATGCACTTTTTTATTTAAAATCTATGTGGTTTCCAGAAAAGTTTCCGATGTTTCCTCGAAATTACCTTAACAAAGAGTCGACATTTCTGTTTTCCTGGGGTTTCTTCTGTAGTTTCTTTGCTTTTCAATCTTCTACCTCTGAATGCAATATAATGGAGGAAATCAATAACAAAATTTATTGATTTCTTGGAAATAATATTTCCTTACGCTTATCTATCGCACAGCAAGTTTCAATTTGGTAATTATTACGCTGCTTATCAATTAGTTTGATATTAACAACTAATCGAAAAGTACGCAATTATAATAATTAGCACTAGTTTAATGCTTCGCTATTCAATTAGACATAAAAGTTGTTTACCTAATAGTAGACCGATTAAGCAATGCTTTACATTCTAGTTGTCGGATTCATGCTCTGGACAGCAGACTTTTCTGAAGAAGCATGTGTTTGTAATTGGCGCAGTCGGTAGAATTATTTATCATATTGGATAATACCGTGGATGGCCGCGTATCAAACTCTTTCTGCAGCTTCCAACATTTATTCAGCTCGGTATAACTTTAAATACGGAACAGAAACAAACTAACTTCAAAATTATCATCAACTTCACAAATAATAACAATAACAAACTGAAAACTCGGTCTTCGGACATTGGGAAGTGTTGGATTTCTACCAACTAAAAAACCCCCGTTTTTGCGGTCTTCTGTAAGAATGGTTCAGCTCTGGCATCCGTATGCCTTTACATCACATTCTCTCCATACTAGCTATCTGCTAGTATGGGCTACAGTGGCTTTATACAAGATCTAGAGAGAGAGATTTATATCTTGTATAAAGCCACTGTAGTATGGGCAGCTTACTAATTTAACACAAGCACTACACAACACTACTTCTATCACACTATTTTAACTATGTTTCACACTTACAGCGCTTGCAGTTAACTGCTTTACCTATTGCCCTGTTGGGCCATCTGATGCCTGGGCCTCTTTTT